TTTATTATATAATAAATTAATTTGATTATAAGTGAACTCTTTAAACTTAGTTATATATGTGTGTGCGAAATAAAATACCTAATTTGGTAACGAGTTATTTGTGTATCATGAATATGAATAAAATAAATATGTAATTGTTGTAGAGTTTTAAACTAAATTTGAATAATTGAACATTGGGCTTGAGTTGAGAATAAAGTTAGTTAGGATAAAATTAATTTTAGGCCTGGGCTAAAATTTTATTCTTTTTGAATTTTACCAAAAATTTGGACCAAGTCTTCCAATTTTTAAAAACCAATTTGCTTCTGGGCTGGGGTTGGCCTAGCCCGAGCCCCTCTCCATCCGTCCATGGATGTGTAGTAAAGAGCTAATGACTTGTGGTCTTGCGATTTTAGCCCAGCCCTGCCTCCCTCTCCATCCGTCCATGGATGTGTAGTAAAGAGCTAATGAGTTGTGGTCTTGCGTTTATAGATATATGGATGCAACTATTAAATTGGTGGTGATAGCATTTTGTGTTGTGCATGATCGAGGTGATGAAGGTTCGACAATTGGAAATAGTGGTGTGTGGAGACTGTGGAGTTGAAGAAAGTAGTGGAGGTTGCTTTAGAGACATTTCATGATGGAGGATTGATGAAATGTCTACTGTTGGTGGTTGTTTTGCTACGATGGGTGGTGTGGTGGTTTTGGCCTTTTGGGAGAAACTGTATATATAATTTTTTGAATTAATTTTTTCTAAGGTGATGATAGTATCATTGTAACCACCTACTTGGTTACATTTGTGGAGATGGTTTTTGGATACGTATGGATGGGGTTGGGGTAGGCGAGTTTGTTGATGAAGTTGAAATATTAAGTTTTTAATTAATATTTATGTGTTTAATTATTTCAAGTGTAATTTATTTGTATTATTTGAAAAAAAATAAGGGACTCTGTTTTCATTTATTCCTTATTTTTGTTGTTTTATTACTTTCTTTTATTTTTGTTCATTTAAAAAGATGACATTCATTATTTAGTTGTCATATGGAGAGAATGATGTATTTTACTGCACAGTTGAAATGTTGGGATAGATAATGTGAAATAAGATTGAGGGTATATTTGTTACATTTAATAAAAATTGATGACGAAGAGTGCAAATTTTCCTTAAATTTTATTATCCCTTTCATCTCAAGTTTCAACTTTATCTTCTCTCCAACGATTTTTCATCATATCCAAGCCAATCTTTCTCTAAAATCTGACACGTAAAGTATTCTTTATCAAATAAAATATTAAAAAAACAATTCAATAATTGAGATCTAGCATCCTATCCTATCCTAGTTTATTGAAAACGATATCACTTAATGCATAGACATGATTGGGTATTATTTTAAATCCCCATCTTAATTCGTACACGTCAGCACCTGGTATTGATTCGGTGGGGCCGACACTGTAGTACGCGTTGTTGCCAAGACCTAGTCGAGCCGTTGATTTAAAACCGACATTTGACTTGAGTGGCAGACTGCAATACATTTGGTTCCACTCTACACCCTTCATTCACCTCCATTTGATAAACGCGGGTACATCACCACTTACACAATGTGTGACATAATGGTCAAGTGGCGCCTCCTCATTGGAGAGAAATGAATAGTGCTACATGCACATAAATCTAGACATAATGGTGTTCATAATTACATGTGGCACTGAATCCAACCATTAATTCAAATCTCACACTTTCACATCAACAATATGATTTTGTCCACGTCATATTATGGACGCTATTATGTACATGTAGACTTTTCCTTCATAAATTGTTAAACTTTATTTACAATATAAATCTTCAAGTAGTATTTACTCATTCGTCACTCATTTTTATTATTTTATTTAAAAATTAGAGTATTCAAACATGTTTAAAAATTAACATGACAATTGTTGAAAAACATTCGATCCTTAGCCACGTTTAATAATATTTTGAATAATGATTTTTATGAGAATATGTGGTTAAAAAGTATAAATTTTTTTAGACTTATGTGTAAAATATTTTATTGTTTAAATGTGTATTTGAAAATGAGTATGTAGAAAAAAAATTTAAAAATAATGATTATCAAATAGGGAGCATGTTTGGCTAAGATTAAAATCCAATTAAAATTGAAAATATAGCCGTTATTGAGTCTCACTCGTTTAATAAAAGTCAACAATAATGACTAATTTTTTAATTTTAATCAAATTTTAATCTTTGCCAAACATGCTCAAGGTTTAATAATATTGTACCATGGGTTTCGATATTTCTAATTTAAAAATATTTTTTATTAATAAAAATTATTCAAAGAATTTTGCTACTAGTGCATCAGAATGCTGTATAAACGATTATCGAAAATGATGCTGAAGAAAGATAGTGGATAAGAAAGGTAATTGTACTTCGAACTGGTAAATGATAGTGTTAGTGACATTATTTAATTATTTATGTAAATTATATATATCATGCTTAGTCAAATGGTTAACGCGTCATCAATGAATTCGAACTCTCTGGAAAATTGCATTTATGGGATTGGACCTTTCCAAATTCAATTTTTGTACGTTTTCGTTTCAGCTGCCACCTATATAACGCCCTGTCTGCGGTCTACCTCTATTCACTCTCCAGAATTCCCCAGTCGAACTCTCTCTCTACAAAAACACGCATTCTCTCATTCTATATAAATCTCTAGATACGCGCTTGTGTGTGCATATATAGGTGTATCGATCTCTAGCGGTCTGTTACTGTGTATACAAATTTGCAGGGAGGATCGACGCCGAAGAAATTGATCGGAGCTGTTCGGATCGCGATAAGGAGTGAAAGTTCGTTATTCTGATAATTTGATGTTATTTTTTTGTCGTGTTGTTATGATTTTGTGTTGACGTTTTGAATTTTAAGGTATGAATTTTGTGGATACTTTAAAGATTTGAGAGTTATCCTGGACTAGATGTGAAAAAAATGCGGAACTAAGTTTTCTTGGTTTACGAGAAAACATTTGAGTAGAATTGACAGGAGATTCGAATCTTTGCTTTATGTGTAGTTATCACTTGGATTTCTTCTATTATCTGGTTTTCGGATTTCTTCCATATCGAGATGAAAAGAAGTTCTACTGTCTTTGATTTTTTGATAGAATGGTATTGGAGAAGATCAAACTGCATCTCGCTTGGAAGTAACTGACTTTTTTTTTGTTCTCTGGGAGAGCTATGCATAAATATTATTGTAAATTGATCACAAGTACGAGAAATTGGTCAATTCATGTCTATGCGTGTATCCCTGTTGATTTGTGTGCCTGATATTTATGATTATCTTGTGCATTTGTAAATTTTCTCATGAAATGTTCAACATTGATTCAGTCCTGATGGATGTCCCCCACTCTATCCTTTTGAGGTTCGGCTTGTTGAATTAGGATCCGTTAGTCCTTGACTTGACCTCTTGTTGATCAAGCGTTTTCATTAGCTTTGGTTAACGGATAATTCTTGTATGTTTTTGCTTTTCCTAGACGGTTAAAACAATCCAAGGTGCTTAAGGATGGAAACTTTCCTAGATACAATTCGTCACACAATATTGCGGGAACAATAGAATTGACTATGATGCATTTATCACTTGTCCCAATATAATTTTGTAATTCTATGAGGATGACAAAACATTTTCCTGTTGCATCTTCTCTGGATCTATTGATATTCTAACCAACTGATTTCTTGCTATTAGTTAACTCTATGTTTGAGTTTATTGTGGAAATTACAAATCAGGTTTATTGTCCAAGTGTCAGTTGCTGGTGGACTTTACACAGTATTGGATCCAAATAGGAGTGTTTGAAGCTGGAACTTTGATTATAATTACTTTTTTTATATATACTTTAGGTCGCTGATGTGAATTGACGTACGTTAGTGGCCAGTGCTTCTATCTGTATTGTTATTCTATAGATAAAACAGACCCTTTGCGAAATTAGAAATAGTTCATTGGTTATTGGATGTGCAATATTGAAATCAAATTATGAGCACGAATAGTCAATATGAACTTCTAGCCCCCACCATGTTTTATTAGGCTTGATCTGTCGTATTCTTTTGTTTTAGAACCTTCCATCCACCTTAATTAAGATGAGTCAGCTTATTTCAGGAAGAAATAATCGTTGTTGATGCTTATATTTTTAGAACTATCTTTGCATTACAACCAGCCAAATTTAAGTGTCACCTGACCCTACATAATGTGGCCGAATTGGTTTCCTACTTATAGTGGAGTAATTGGTGATGAGCTCCTAAAGTAAGGGTCTAGTTATCAGGAAGAGATAGAGATCCTTGGTTGTGTAAAGCTCTCATTGCCGAACAGGCTATTGCGTTGTTACAATATGATCAGCCAGATTAGATAGTAATAATAACAGAAAGTGTGAACATGCTACTCTTGAGATTCAGGGAAGACACTAAGAAAGAGATTCGGGCTACTCTTGAGATTTGGGCTATTGCATTGTTACAATATCATCAGCTAGATTAGATAGTAATAATAACAGAAAGTGTAAACATGCTACCTTTGAGATTCCGGGAAAACACTAAGAGAATATATTGACATGCTAGTAGATGGGGGAGAAGTTTCTCGAACTTCAAATTAGAGGCCTTTTTCGTCATTTTCCCTACTTTTTCTTCTTCCCCTTTTAGTGTAAGTTTTTTCTCAAAAGAAGACAACGTTGCAGAATCACGGATTGAGGTAGGCCTCTTCTCAACGGACAAGGAACGTAACTAGTCCTACAATCTCACAAACTCCTTTTTGTTCTGACTTGAGAATGCAGTTGATACATTTATCTATTTGCTTTTACCATAGGTTGAGCTGTCCATGCCTAGATGGATTTGGACTCCAAGAATCAAGTCTTGTGCAATTGTTACTATCCACTGTTGGAAGCTTTGGAATTGTTGTAGATCTACTTGTTTTGATGAATTCTCCTACTTGGAGCTTCCTGGCTGGAGCTGTTCAACCTTTGTTGGATTTTGTTGTTGCTGATTCAATTGGTCTGCCGCGATATGCAAGAAAGGCGTGGCGACCAGAATAGATATGCATAAACAGGTTTAAATATCTCCTAAGTTAATTTCTGAATGCAGGTGCTTTAGGACTATTCCAGCTGCTAGGTAGATTATTTCCAATCATAAGATAAGATGGCTTCGGTAGCTGTTGATTATTCTGGATCTCCACATTTTGAGCCAAAACCCCAACAAACTATATTCACTGAGAAAAACAACGTCGAGCCGGGGGACTCCGACTCGCAGGAGTTCCATGAAGGGTGCATTCCTGTCGATGACTTGATTTGTCGGGAAAAAGTTAGTAACGCAGAAATCCACGATAAAGGATACTTGGAATATGGGTATGCATTTGTGGCTGTATCCATTGTTATTTGCAATTTATACATCAGCTAAGTTTTTGCTAATACTGATTGTTTCTATTGATAGGTGTTCCCATTATCGTCGAAGGTGCCGCATTAGGGCACCGTGTTGCAACGAGATTTTTGATTGTCGTCACTGTCATAATGAAGCAAAGGTAAATGTTTATCAATTCATTTTCACTAAAGGTTTACTTATTCTGTGTGTATTTCTTTGGGTGCTGTCAGATGTGTATAGTTGGCAAAGATGACTCAAAATGGCATTCTATGTGACATAAAAATTTTGTGAGATCAAAAAATTCAAATTCTAAAAGTTGTACACTGTTGAAATTTTAAGGTATCAAATACTTATTATGGATCCCCTGAATAGACCATCTTTCCTTTTTATGGTTTCTTTTTCAGCTTTTGAGGGGTTTGGATTTACATTAAATTTAGAAAAGGGATCAGTTGTTTTTTATAATCTTTTAAATATTGCAAAAGCGTGACATGACGTTGATCATATTTAATCTTGGTCAACAGAACAATATTTGCATTGACCAAAAGTTCAGACATGATGTCCCTCGCCACCAAGTACAGAAGGTAGGCTTTTTCTCCTGTCTTAACTCGTTTACTTCTCTTTCCACTTGTTCACGTTATGTTCCCCAATTTATTTCTCTGTGTTTTTGCGCCCTCCCTTTTTCTTTTGTTGCTTGAAGTATAGGAGGCGATCTTGAAATGATTTTTCTTTGTCTTTTGCAGATCATATGCTCACTTTGTGACACTGAACAAGAGGTTTGTTGTGTGCAGCGTGTACTGTATTATTGTTTTCTAATTGAGATTCCTGGCCTCCTTGATATAAACACTGCGTTGAGTTTAAAGGATGAGATTTTCAATAAATATTTTCTAGAGCAAGGCTTCATTAATTCATTACTTGAGACCTGCTGAATATTTGGTTGAATTCTGTTTGTGTGTGTTGAGTGGGAGGATGACCTTTCGAAGAATTATTTTTTTCCTTTCCACAGTCATCTTTTTCTGTTTTAACTGAAATCTTTTTCCTTGTCCGGCGGTTACTCCAGGTTCGACAATTTTGCATTAATTGTGGAGTATGCATGGCTAGATATTTCTGTGGAATCTGCAAGCTATTCGATGATGATGTAAGTAACATGCATCCTCTCCTATGATACCTTTTTATTGAACGGTCTAATCATCAGTTTGGATCCAATAGGTGTTGATATTTAAATGGGCACAACCTTCGTCAATATGCATTCTAAAGTACTTGGTGAAATGTTTTCATGATGTATACTGCTAATTTGTACAGGCTATTAACAAAATTGAATTGCCATTTGTAGATATCAAAAGGACAGTTTCACTGTGGTGGGTGTGGCATATGCAGGTACGGTTGCAACTCCAGTCCAACCCCCCCTTCCCATTATTTCTGCTATAACCTTTAATTTAGTTTATCCTTGCTGTTAAATTTTGTTCTTTTAACTAGATGAAAATGAGAGTTCCCAAAAAAAAAGTTCAACATATAGATGGCATACCACGATAGCTGGAAATTATAGAATAAAAGTAATCTAGGCAAAACACGAACGGGAATGGATAATTTATATAACTATTGCCTTTCAAACTAAAAACTAAAAAGGTGAAAGACTACTTATATGGTTCCAAATAACCTTCAAAGAAAATAATCTGTTGGCAGAATCACTATTATGGGAATAATCACATAGAGTTAACTGATGAAAAACCTTGATTTCTAGACTCAAAAGATATTTAATGTGCAAGGAGAAAGGAATCTGGTGAATGAGGAAAGTCAAATCTTCCAACAATGATGAAATGAATTAGATTATTTGTTTTGTACCTTGGAATTAGGGTCAATTTGTCAATTCAAACAAGAACCTCGATATTCGCAAAGTAATGTTTCTAGTTAACCATTTTGGAGGAATTTTTCTCATTAGTTAGTTGAAGGATTTTCATCATGAAATTGAAAGGATGCATGATTGTTTTTGGTTTCCTTGTGCTTACATTTACCCTGTTTCAGGGTTGGAGGGTCAGAGAATTTCTTCCATTGTGATAATTGTGGTAATCTACCTCTCCCCACACCCCACCCCGAATAAAAAATAATAATCTACACGTATGTTAAGCATTGTTTCCTGGTTCTTATGGTCTTCTTGGCATGTTATCTAGGATGTTGTTACTCGATCCTTCTGAAAAACAGCCACCCCTGCGTGGAGAGGGCAATGCATCAAGACTGCCCAGTATGCTTTGAGGTAACTCAAACTTTCCTTCCCACTTTATGTGGAGTTCTTTTTGTGGATTTATTGTCTGCTAGTGCGGCACTAATGGAAAGCCTCCTTTTCTCCAGTACCTATTTGAGTCGATGAACGATGTAGCTGCTATGCCATGCGGGCACACCATTCACCAGAAATGCTTGGAAGATATGCAGGAACACTATCAGTATGTGAAGATTTTATATGCTATTTGTTCTTTAGGCTTGTAGAGGTTTTAGTTTTGTTTTAACAGTTGCATATCGATTGACAATTGAACAGATATGTTTGCCCCCTCTGCTCCAAATCAGTTTGTGATATGTCAAAGGTGTGGGAGAAGTTTGACCTGGAGATTGCAGCTACACCCATGCCAGAATCTTACCAGAACAAAATGGTATCTCTCCCCTCCTCTCTTTTGTTCCTCTCGTCTCGAGACTTCGATAAAAATTGTACGTGAAAGGGCATGTCGAAAACCAAATTTATGTAGATAAATGTGTCCCTTACTTAAAAACCTAAGCTGTTAGATGGGCTGATGACACATTATACGTACGGCCGAGGTCTTGGGTTCTTTCTGCCTCCATCTGCTTATAAAAATTGCACACATGTCAAACATCTGATAAAAGGGAGAAAAAAAGAATCCGGCTTGCCTGCGAGGTTGCATGTCAAAGACAAATTGAAAAATAAGTGTGTTCCATCTAAAGCAGTTTAAGCTTTTATGTAAATTGGTTCTACGTGTGGGTGCACTTCTTTGCATTGTTGCCATTGTAATTGTTTCATGATGGAGAATTACTCATTGAAAATGTACTCCAGTGCGTGTTACATTCTAGTATACACAGGATGCTGATGGAACTTGGATTTACAGGTTTGGATTCTCTGCAACGATTGTGGAGCCAATTCGAAAGTGAAATATCATGTTGTGGCCCAGAAATGTCCTAATTGCAAGTCCTACAACACCCGTCAAACAAGAGGCATTCGCATATAGAGATATATTCACTCTTTAGTGCAATGAAAGCAATTGCCTTTGCTGGAAGCACTTTGGGTTCTCTCTCCCCTTCTGTTAAGTTGTGTTGTACTTCGTGTTAAAACTTTTTTCTTTCCAAATTTGTTATTTCTTTTATTTAATATCATCTATGTGAATGATTTAGAAGTAGAGTTAAATAAATTCTTTTATTGATTTTTTTACTAAATTTTAATTTTGACGTCTTTCTTCGATGGGGTACAGCGGAAGAAGGATCCGCAATAACGTGAAACAAATTATGACAGAAATATAATAATGCCAGAGAAGCTGAAAAACAGAAGAAAAAGAACGGAGGAAAATAGAGGAGCAGGAGACCAACGAGTTTGATATTTCAATTGAGTTTTATTACTTGATGAAAAACTCAAAAAACGGAGAATGAAAGAAACTGATCGTGTTGGTTGCTAATTGCAGTAGCTTACAAGAGCTATTTATGGTGAGAATTTCTCCCAAAATTTCTCAACTATTCAAATTGAAATTGAAAGTGTTCTTATACTTATTTAGAGACCAATTCCACTATAACTGGCTCCTAAAATTATTGAAAAACAATTGACTCATTCAACATTAGAAATGGCAGCAGTAAGTTGCACTAATTTGTAACATTCCCCCTTAATGCAAACTTACTCTCATTTACACCAAGAGCTCTGCGAAATACTTCGAATTTAGCTTTGGCAAGTGCTTTAGTAAAGATATCAGCCACTTGGTCTTCAGTTCGTATATTTTGCAGCTCAATGTCTTGAGTTAATACATTCTCTCGAACAAAATGGCAATGAGTTTCAATGTGTTTTGTACGTACATGAAACACTCGATTTCCAGCAAGCTTTATTGCACTTTCATTATCACAATAAATGGGAACTAAGTAGTTGAAGGTAGAAACCATTTCTTGAATGAGCTTCTTAAGCCAAAGACACTCTTGAGTTGCCATAGCAGTTTCTATATACTCTGCTTCACAGCTTGAAAGAGTTATAGTAGTTTGCTTTTTACTACACCATGAAATTGCAGTTGAACTTGTAGTAAAACAAAAAACTTGTTGTGGAGCGTCTGTCATTCACATCGCCAGCCCAATCTGCATCTACAAAACCACTTAAGGAAAATGACATAGGTTGATTGTACAACAATCCATAATTTAGCGTCCCTTTTACATAACGAAGAATTCTCTTTGCTACAATTAAATGACCCTCACATGGATTGTCCATAAACTGTGAAATGACTCCAACAGAATATACAATATCAGGTCTTGTGATAGTTAAATAAAATAAACTACCAACAATTTGTCGAAAAGATGTTGCATCTTCCAGTAGCTTTCCTTCATTTTTAGATAACTTCAAACAAGGTTCCATTGGAGTGGTCATTTCTTTGGACTCCCCCATACAAAAATGAGATAGTAATCTTGTTGCATATCCTTTTTAAGAGAGAAAATAACCATCTGATTTTTCAATTTCCAAGCCAAGAAAACAGCTAGCTTCACCCAAACTCTTCATTTCAAAAATAGTTGACAAGGCATCTTGAAGACGGGTTATTTCAACATTGTTATCCTCATTAATGATCATATCATCCACATAAAGAAGCAACATGATGCAAATTGAAGATGTTTTTCTAATAAATAAGCTTGGATCTGCATTAGAAGACTTAAACCCACAAAAATCAAGATATTGAGCAATCTTACCATACCAAGCACATGGAGCATGCTTGAGGCCACACAGGGCCTTCTTGAGCCGGCACACTTGATTAGGAAATTCCTTAGAGATAAATCCTTGTGGCTGCTCCATAAAGATATCACGATCTGGCTCTCCATATAGGAATGCATTCTTCAAGTCTAGTTGCCATAATTTCCAACCTTTGTAAGCAGCCAATGAAATAATTGTTTGAACAGTCACCATTCTAGCAACATGGCTAAAAGTCTTCTCGTAGTCTAGTCCATATTGTTTAGAGAAACCATGAGCAACAAGACAGGCTTTATACCTATTAATAGTGCCATCAGCTTTCTTCAACTTGTAAACCCATTTACAAGTAACCAAATCAGCATTCTTTGGCTTTGGAACGAGCTCCCAAGTGCTGTTCTTATACAAAGCTGACATCTCCTCCTGCATTGCCTCTTCCCATTTAGAATCACCTTGAGCTTCATTGTACGACATCGGCTCATTTTCACACGAATCTCCCATAAAAAAAATGACAAAACAGAGCAATGATTTAACTGAACTTCATAATCAGCTAGATGATCAAGTTGCTTTCTTTGTCTAGAAGCCCTTCGAATTGCAGTCCCAACTACCTCGTCTTGCTGAATATTTTCTCCAGATGGAATAGTATTGCTCCCCTTTTCACCTGTCGCAACATCACTAAAAAAGGGCCAAGATCAACTATGCTACGGTCCTTGTTATCAACTTGATGTGATGACACTTCATCGAACACTACATCACGAGAATCAATAACACTCTTTGTGTCTGGATCCATATATCTCCATCCTTTCCTATGAGTATCATAACCAACAAAAATACAACGCCTTGCTCTTGGATCAAGTTTAGTCCGATTATTTTTTAGTATATGGACATAACAAATTGAACCAAAAAGTAAAAAATAACTCACATTTGGTTTGTGCTGGTATAATGCTTCAAAAGGGGATGATTATGTCCCTGGCCAAGGAGGTAAGTGATTTATAACATGACAGGCAGATTGAATAGCTGCTGCCCACAACTCCTTTGCAAGGTTCTTTTCATACAACCAGGACAAGCATATAGTCGTTAGATGTGCTCCCTACAATATTCAAGGAATTCATTGGACATGTATTCCCCTCCATTATCGGTGCGTAGACACTTTATTGGCAGCCCGAATTCTTTCTCCACCTGCTATTTGAATTGAATAAATTTGGAGAAAGCTTCACTTTTGTGTTCCAAGAAATATACTCAAGTGAATCGAGAGAAGTCATCCACAATAACCATCACATAACGAAAACCAACAAAATTGGGTATTTTTTTTGGCCCTATAAGATCTGAATGAACCAGTTGTAGTGCAGTAGAAGCTCTATTCTTTGAATTTGGGAAAGGAAGACGATGTGATTTTCCATATTGGCAACCAGCACACACCACATCAGGATGAAAATGTTTAAAGAGAGGAACTTCATCGACAAGTTTCTTTGTGGAGATTTTCTACAGCAACTGATAACCAACATGGCCTACCCGAGCATGCCAAAGTGCTGCACTTGCATTTTGGCCTGTCTTTTCAACATATGCATCACTTGCAAACAAAACATATAGTGAATCTTGCCTTTTTCCAGTAAGTAAAACATTAGCAACAATATGTTTTACATTTGAAAGAATCTGTACATTATTTGGACCAAAAAGAACATACCTCCCAGAATTAACTAATTGAGAGACCGAGGTGAGATTCTTTTTTTGAACCTGGAACATGATAAACATTTTTTAGATAAATGCCATCATCATTCGAAATATCAGCACTAACATTGAAATGCCTTTCTTTAGCTACAGGAAGCAATGAATTATCAGCTATTGCAATGATTCTTTTTCCACAACATTAGAAAGTAACGAAACGTTTCCAGTTGCATGATGAGAGCAGCCCGAATCAATGATCCAATCCTTGTTGTAGTCTATGGAAACATTATCATCAATATCTATACCAGTCTGCTACACTTTAGATGTCATGTTGGCCAGTTGATTGATAGCTTTAATGGATAAACATTGCTCCCATTTGGGCTGTTCAAATTCACTAGCTTCATGTGCAACATTTGCTATTGCACGATAATTTTGTTTAATGTGGCCCGATTTCCCACATCGACTACACGCTACATTCACCCGACAAGCACACTTTATATGTCCCAGCTTTCCACACCTGCAACAAGTTCTTGAATTTCCCTTGGATTGCCCCCCAGTTTTGGATTGCTTGCCATCTCCTGAATAGTGCTTAGAGGAAAAATTCTTTTTTCCTTGGTCCTTGGTGTAAAGAACATCCTCAGCTTGAGAGAGAGAGAGACTTGTTGCTATTGTTGGACATTTGTTTCAACAATGCTTCCTAATTTGAGAGCATATTCTCCAACTCAATGATGGTAAGTTGATTTGCCCACCCTTGTATCAAAGAGATAAATGGCATAAACTCTTTTCGCAATCCACGAATGAGATAACGACGCAAACGAACATCACTTACAGGTTCCTCCGTATCCAATTCTGAAATATCAGAACACAAGGTTTTAAGTTTCAAAAAATATTCTGAGGCTGAAAGGTTACCTTGAGTCATCCCAGCAAGTTCATTCTCCAAAAACTGCAGCTTCATCGTGTTCTTTTGAGTGAACAGCCTTTCAAGTGTCTCCCATACATTCTATGGTGACTCCTCATCACGAAAATGCTTGATATACTCTTTACTGATCGATGTTCGCAAAGCATATAAAGCTTTACCACACTTTATCTTCCATTTCCTCCTTAACTCGACATTATGTGGCATATCTTCTAGAATTACATCATCCCCAGAAATAAGTTCCCACAAATCGTGTCCTTGTAGATAAGCTTCCATGCATAGCTTCCAGTAACTATAATTGTTACCAACAAGTTTGTCTACAGAGACACTGCTTCCACCGTTCATCTTCTCTGAGTAATAAAATCAAACACTTGATAGGCAATCGAGCTCTAATACCATGAAACAAATTATGAAAGAAATGTAATAATACCAGAGAAGCTGAAAATAGAAGAAAAAGAACATAGGGAAATAGAAGAGCAGGAGACCAACAAGTTTGATATTTCAACTGAGTTCAGAGAATGAAATAAACTGAACGTGCTAGCTACTAATTGCAATAGCTTACAAGAGCTATTTATAGTGAGAAATTCTCCCAAAATTTCTCAACTAATCAAATTGAAATTGAACGTGTTCCTAAACTTATTTACCAAACAAGAGACCAATTCCACTATAACTGACTCCTAAAATTATTGAAAAACAATTGACTCATTCAACATTAGAAATGGCAG